ATAATGATAATAATAATGATGGTAATAATAATAATGATAGTAATAATAATTGCTAATCAACTAGCTAAGCTCGAGGTGTGGGTCTCCGAGGTGTGCGCCCTCGTCGAGGCCGCCACCCCGCCCCCCGCCCCTCCCTCCGCCTCTCGCCCGCTCGGCCCGGACGAAGCGCTGCAGGAGCTGCGCTGCTGGCCCGCGCGCCTCCTCGAGCCCGCGCGCCTACCCGAGCTGCGTCGCCGAGCTGGGCCACCACCCGGCCCCGCCGACGCCGCGGCTGCCGACGCCGACGCCTCCGCCACCGCCGGCAGCCACAGCGGCGCAGCCAGCACGGCGGTGACCAACGCGCCGCGGCTCTCGCCGGCGGAGCTCGCTGTGGCGCTCGCCGCCGCGAACGAGTTCGACCCCCCCTCCCGGCCGCCGCCCAAGAAGATGCTGCCCAAGCTGCAGCCCGTCGCGGCTGCTAGCCGCAAGAGGCTGCAGCCCGGGCTGGCGGAGGAAGAGGAGGAAGAGGCCGCCGCGACGCTGCAGAGCGAGACCGAGGCCGCAGAGCGGCGCGCCGCGGCGCGCTGGCAGCCGTTAGGGGGTGAGGGCAGGGGGTGAGGGCAGGGGGTGAGGGCAGGGGGTGAGAGTACCGGGGGTGAGAGCCCGCTCCTCGGCAGCGATGGAGGGGGAAATGGGGGCAGGGCGGGTGGCGGTTTGCCCCTCGCATGGCAGTATTCGGATCTCTGTCTCTGCACTCTTCGACAGCTCCGCGGCTCCCCCGCTCGCCAGACACCGGGGAGACGCTGCACCACACACAGCCGCCCTGCGCCCTGCGCGTCATGCATCATCGATATGGTGTCTCCCTCCCTCTCTCTTTCATGATCTCCTTATCTTTCCTCTTGAGAGAGATTTTTAGCAAAATACCAAACAAAGCCACTCTAACACTCACACGTTGTGTTTGTGTTCCTCTTGTGAGAAAAAGAAAGAAAGAAAAGAATGAAAACAGTAACAAACAAACCAAACAGCAGGATTTTGGAAGGGGACGATCAGGGACACCAGTTCACCCACACGAGAAAGGACGAAAGAAAGAGAGTAAACATGGAGCACTTGGAGTGCGCACCGCAGTCAAGAGTCATTAACCTCACATCCAGGGCCGGGGAGCTGAGGAGCGCACCCAGCGGGCCGGATGATCGGGATCGGGTTACGGGCTAGAGAGCCCTAGCCCCGGGGGTGCGCGTTCGCAGGGAAAGGGCCGTAAAATAAACACGGGTCCCCGAGGGTTAGCTCTGCGCTCCGGGTTTCCCCTAGCAGCGGAACGCCCCCTCTACTCGGGGCTAGTAGACACCAGACACTAGCACGACAACACACACATTCCTCACTGACGTCACCACTAGGAACCCCCCGCTCCGCGCACGGTCTCCTCACCCCCACTCCGAGGGGGGCCCTCCCTCCCCTCGGTCCTCCCTCCTGTTCGCCTTCCGATGGTCACGCGACGACTGTGGGGGCCGGCCTCCCCTCCTAGCCTTCTTTGGCCGCGGTCCCGTCGCCGTTTCGTCCTCTCTGCCCGATCCCGCTGACTCCGCCTCCGGCGACCCCGCTCCCGACCCCCTGGGCGAGGACGGTGGCATTGGGTCACACCCACTTCTACCCCCGGGAGGTCGAGCCCGCTCTCCCTGGTCGACGAGTCGCGCCCGCACCCGCGGCCTCTCTACCGTCCTTGGCTCGCCCCCCCCCTCCGCCGGCTCCTCTTCAGGCTCGGGGAGGCGTGGCCCTCCCTGTCGAAGATCGCGGTGAACCGGTTGCCACTGCGACGGGCCTTCCCCCGGTGAGCTCGTACGTCCCGACTCCACTCGCAGAGGCCGCGTCAGCTCATCTCTCGCCTCCTCCGACAGCTGACCCCAAGCCCCCCCTGGGGCCCTCCGGCCTCGGCCTTCCGGCTCGCCGGCGGGCCCGTTATCGTATTGCGGCAACTCCCCTCCCCCAGCTCCTCCTCCCGGGTACTCCAGCCTCCGGCGGGGCGGTTCCGGATCCCCCAGGTTATTCCGAGCGGGTCCATACGGTGGCGGCCCCGCCGGCGGCGGGGGTGGAGGCGGTGGCAGGGGCGGCGGGTACGGTGGCGGCCCTCGCGGCCAAAACGCCTGGTGTGGAGCCGCTGGGCGGCCCCACGACCCTGCAGCCGTTCCAGCGGCGGGGGCGGAAGTGGCAATGTGGGTGGCGGAAACGGTGGCGGCACTGGCGGCCGCACCGCCTGGTGTGGAACCTCAGGGGCGGCCCCTCGACCCAGTGGTCGCTCCAGCTGCGGAGGCGGAGGCGGTGGTGGTGGGGGCGGGCCTGGCGGCGGTGCCGGCCGCCGCAACTCCTGGAGCGGGGCCTCGGGGGCGGCCCCCTGCCCCTGCGGTCGTTCCAGCCGCGGTTCCACGCGTCGGCCGACTACCCCACTCGTAGGGGGGGCCTAGCTCTCTTCTCCCCTTGGGAAGGGGGGGGGGGCCAGGGCCCGGATTCGCCGACCAACGGGTCCGCCTCTCCCTCCCAACGCTCCGCGACGGGTCGTAGACTGCGCAGTAACCGCGCCGCCCCCCCCCTCGCCCGGTCCCTCTCTATTCGGTCCCACACCGACCGGATATCAAAGGCCGAGTTGTGCTCGGACAGCGGGCGCGCGAAGCTTTTTTTTCCTCTCGATGCCACTTCCGCGAACAAAGCCGTCGCACGCCGAAGCGCCCCGCTGCCAGGCTTGTAGCCATGCACCCGCAACTGACCCTCGACAACAATCAGATGTGCGTGGACCAGATCCTCGCCTTCCAGCGGTGCCACGAGGAGGTTGGCCTCTGGGGCAAGCTGACTGCCCGCTGCAACACCGAGAAGAGCCTGCTGGACAGGCGCGCGCGACCCTGCCGTTAGCACTCGCGTCCGCGCGCACTCGCTGATGCGCCCGGCCCGCCTTGCTGCAGGTGTTTCCGGGAGCAAAAGAAGGTGAAGCGAAAACGGAATCGCGAGGATCGGCCTATGAGCGCCGGGACGGGAGCACCCGGGCGCGGGGCGTGGCATCAGGCACTGAAAGATGGCATCATGCTGGAAGAGACCTCTTGACGAAGTGACTTCACCTTAATCGCCCGTCACTCACGCCTCCCTCCTCCCGCTGCCGCCCGGTCCTAGTCTGAGATGTGTTGAGCCCCACGAGGCGCGCCTCCTGTGTGTGATATAGCGCCCATATCGTGTCAGAGAAGGCTAGCCAGAACGAAGTCGAGAACCGTGCGGTCCGGAGGAATTTGTGCTCCTTTTGGTGAGAAGACTGTGTTGATGTACGACACCGCATCCCCGTCAGGAGGTCAGGACACAATTTCTCCGTCTCTAGTTTAACGTACTCAAGTCCTGTGTAACTGTTGGCATCTCCTGCTCCCTGTGTCTGGGAACAGAACTTCGCGAGGGAGCGACGCCGAGTAGGCTGGGGCTATACCAGGCAGCCGCGCCGAATTGGACCGCGCTCTCTCCACTGCAGCGCCTCTGCACTCCTGCCACCTGCGTCCTGGGACCTGGCTAAATAGATAAATAAACAAAGAGTCGAAGAAAAACCAAAATGAAAATCCAAATAAACAAAAAGAAAAATACTTGTTGTCATCATTGGGTGCACGGCGCCTCAGTCGGCTTCACGATGCCGACTGCCACGCAAGAAGCTCTCGCGGACGAGAAAGAGAAGTCGATCCTCGAAGAGCACAAGCAGCGCTTCTCCGCGATGAAGCTGGCGCCCGATGATATCGAGCCTTGCGACGCAAACGGCGAGAAGCTCGTCGCCGGCACGCGCGTCCAGCTCTTCGGCTTACAAGCGCGGCCCGACCTGAACAACACGTACGGCCGCATTGTCACGTACAATACCGAACGCGGCCGCTTCGGCGTGCAGCGCGAGGAAATGCTTGAAGGCAATGGCCAGATCACGTTCGGTTGGGTGGACATGGAGGTCGAGGCGCCCATGGCGGTCAAGCCCGAGAAGCTGCGCATCGCGCCGCGCCTGCCTGCGGCGATAGGGACGGCGGCAGGCTCGCGACGCGCCCACGCCCAGGACGCCAAGTATGTCCTCGATTGGCTCGACTCTGGCGGGCACATTGAGGCTCGGCATCCGGTGAACCACGACACGGTGCTCACACTTGCTTGCGCCGTTGGCGCGTCCACCCTCGTCAGCGCCTTAGTCGAGCGCGGTGCTGACGTCGAGGCCCGTGCGAAGAACGAGACCACGCCCCTCATGTACGCCGCGTTCGGAGGGCACGCAGAGATCGTGCGGACGCTTCTCAGCGGCGGGGCCCGCGTCGACGCGGTCAATGGCGACGGCCGCACCGCCCTCAGCGACGCTACGAGGGCGAACCACGTTGAGGTCGCGGCTATGCTGCGAGAGGCCGCCGCCGCAGGCAGTGGCGAACCACGTTGATGGTCGGGGGGAGTGCCGCCTGCCGCGGACGCCCCGCGCGTGCACACGGCGTGGAGCGGCAGGAGCGGACGCGCGGGGCGCGGTGAACGGTGCGGTTGCGGGGCCGCGTGCGGTTGCGGGGCCGTGGCCTCATCATTGAGCTGGATCCACCTCTGCACCGCTCCCGTCGCCGCCTCGGCCACGACTTGCAAGTTCCTCGTGACCCCGGCGCCAAGCTCCCTCCGGCTCTTCTCCGAGAGGTCATCTACCAGTGCTGGCAACACTCCTGGCTAGTTGAGATATGTAGTTCCATTTCACTGTGGCACAGCCCGCGTTACAAAACCTTGATTGTGACCATTTGCGCAAAAAGGTACATGTCAGTGCCTTCCAGAGGCAGCTGCGACCCCGCCGAG